GAATAGGTGATATCACTCATTCGAATAGGTGATATCACCTATTCGAATAGGTGATATCACCTATTCAAAATCTGAATAGGTGATATCACTAAGTCATATAGGCGATATCACCAATTGAATAGGTGATATCATCTATATGAACAGGTAATATCACTTTTTGGCAGAAAATACCAAAACGGCACCCCATAGACCCAGGGGCCATGAAATTCATAATTTTGAAAAAATGAAAGAAGTGAGTTCAAATACACAGTATAATTCAAAACAGGGCATTCACCCATTCTCAATATAAGGGCTCAAATAATGTCGCCTCGTTTTCATTTAGAAGAAATACCACTGATGTAATTTTTAAATCAACATTAGAAATAGTCATACAACAATGAATAAGAATTCATATAATTATCGATCCGAAAGGGTATTTAAGGAGTTCCAAATTCAAATATAGTAGCCTATTTGAAATGTACGTTACTGTCGCCGAGGCAAATATTATGCTGAATACTCTCTGTGTAATATATAGTTTTGATTCTCAAGTAAAAAATTTCTGATAAGTTAAACCCTGTATCATATATATTTCTTTTCATAACATTAAATACATTTTCTTTGTGATAATAAATAATTTTTATTGTGCAATGTCCCTGTCGCTTAATTCTATTTCAACCACATTACAAGCAAACACAAAGATTATACACCTGATAGTTTTGTTCTCCTTTATTTATTGATGGGCTAAAATTTGGGAGGATGAATAACTCCTACTTAGATAATGTAACATGAAATTGAACAATTTGAGCAACTTTTATAAATATGTTTACGGAATGAAAGACATTTTCAATCGTAGAGATAAGAAAGAAATGTACGTTACCTATATTCTTCCATTAAGAATATATATTAAGTAGAAAATATGAGACGACTCTGAATAAGCAACCCCTTGTATCCTGTAAACTGGCAAAGACGTTTTGCTTAACACAATTAAAAATTATTTTTCACATGAAAAGTGATCATTTGAAATGTACGTTACTGAAATGTACGTTACCATGAAATTCGAATTAAGTGAATCTCGCACGAATTATCATGTATTCTCATACTTTCACACACTCGAATGTGTACACAAAGGAAAGTTTCAAAGGTTAGAGGTCGGCTAAATCCAAAAATTAATGAAAAGGAACGTTTCTGCTGAGGAAAACAAAATATATTAAGGTCAATTATATGTAATATAATTTTGATACCTGGTATATATTTCTGAATACGAAACCTGTATGATGCATTTCTTATGATATGCAAGTTCAAATAGTATCAATATACTGCATGTCTAACGTACGCTTGTGGAAGAGAATTGATTTTTATATTTGAAATGTACGTTACGTATGGTAACGTACATTTTGCGCATTTCTAACTGACATTTTTTTTAATTTAGTCAATGATTTGCGTTTACACGAGCGAAACAAAATTATCGTTACAATCCATTTGACAACTGACCACATAAATCCATCTAAATGTACCCCGAAATCCTCGTAAATGAGGTAGATTATTACCACATGCTAGAAAATTTATTTCTAAGTGTCTTAAATTCATCTTTAGCAACCTTTTTGCAGTTTGTTTACTTTTAATTTGCGCCTTTTCGTCAATATTAATTTAATTGCTGTTGATAATTTAAAACAAGGTATGCATAGGCTTATAATTGGTAAAAAAAACAGAAGTCTCTGTCGAGACTGTAGCTCTACTGGTTTATACTTAAAACAAAGGAAGAGAAAAGTAGCAGTTGGGACTTGAGACTTTAAATCAGCAATAAATAGAAAAATGATCCTTGCCACTCATCAAAATAAAAACCAATGCACAGAATTATGTATCTTAGTATAGTCTACTTGTGTGCCAAGTTATACTGAAATCAGACCAAAACTGCAGGAGGAGTAGCATTTTGAAAGAATTTCACAGAAATTTCTATTTTTAGTAACCAAGGCAACATTGTTCATTGAAATCAAAAACCGATGCACAGAATTATGTATCTTAGTGTAGTCTACTTGTATGCCAAGTTATATCAAAATCAGACCAAAACTGTAGGAGGAGTAGCATTTTGAAAGAATTTCACAGAAATTTCTATTTTTAGTAACCACGGCAACACCGTTTATCGAAATCAAAAACCGATGCATAGAATTATGTATCTTAGTGTAGTCTACTTGTGTGCCAAGTTATACTGATATCGGACCAAATTTGTAGGAGGAGTAGCATTTTGAAAGAATTTCAAAGAAATTTCTATTTTTAGTAACCAAGGCAACACCGTTCATCGAAATCAAAAACCGATGCACAGAATTATGTATCTTAGTGTAGTCTACTTGTGTGCCAAGTTATAATGAAATTGGACCAAAACTGTAGGAGGAGTAGCATTTTGAAAGAATTTCACAGAAATTTCTATTTTTAGTAACCACGGCAACACCGTTTATCGAAATCAAAAACCGATGCACAGAATTATGTATCTTAGTGTAGTCTACTTGTGTGCCAAGTTATACTGAAATCGGACCAAATCTGTAGGAGGAGTAGCATTTTGAAAGAATTTCAAAGAAATTTCTATTTTTAGTAACCACGGCAACACAGTTTATCGAAATCAAAAACCGATGCACAGAATTATGTATCTTAGTGTAGTCTACTTGTGTGCCAAGTTATATTGAAATTGGACCAAAACTGTAGGAGGAGTAGCATTTTGAAAGAATTTCAAAGAAATTTTTATTTTTAGTAACCACGGCAACACCGTTCATCGAAATCAAAAACCGATGCACATAATTATGTATCTTAGTGTAATCTACTTTTGTGCCAAGTTATATTGAAATCAGATCAAAACTGTAGGAGGAGTAGCATTTTGAAAGAATTTCACAGAAATTTCTATTTTTAGTAACCACGGCAACACCGTTCATCGAAATCAAAAACCGATGCACAAAATTATGTATCTTAGTGTAGTCTACTTGTGTGCCAAGTTATATTGAAATCGGACCAAAACTGTAGGAGGAGTAGCATTTTGAAAAACTGTTTACAGACAGACAGACAGCTAGACAGACGGACGGACGACGGACGCATTACTATCGCATAAGCTCTTCTGGTCTCTGACCAGTAGAGCTAAAAAAAAAAAACAAAACAAAAAAAGAAGAAGAAAGAAAAAGAAACAAAACAAATAAACCCAGAACACAAGACGGCCACGTACATTTCTAATACTGAAAGGCACACACTACTCAGTTTTGTTTTAATCATTGCATTTTGGGTTATATTGTTCCAGATCTGCTGAAAAGTACGTATGTTTGTGTTTTGACAAACGATGTTGCAACATACTAAATGAAATTGTTATCTAGACTGTCGATGGGTATATTCGAAATAGATTTATGTTAAGTTTCAATGGCCAAACACAAGCATTTGTTAGATCATAGCAAACTACGTCTGACTCTTATTTTTTTTGTCTGTACCCTTGCACACAGGTAGAAGTAACTAGGCTACGACCGTTGACAATTTCAGCGAAACAGCACAAAAGAATGGTAATGAACTGAGATGGAGGGGACTCCCCAATTTTATGTGAAATGAACGTTACCGAAGTGACGTGACATTCCTGTAGTTGATGACAAATAACCACATTTGTTACATTATGATTTCTTATATTACTGCGTTAAAACGCTTCATTGAAATGATTTTTATGTCAATAATTGCTTTTTTTCAATAATCTTTCTTATTACTAATTTACATATTATTACAAGCTTGAAATGTACGTTACCTACTCATATTCCGAGGCAATCGTGTCTTTATAGTGGTGATTGTGACATATAACACAATGTGATTACATAGAGAATCTTTTTAGGAATAAACTGAAACAAAACGATGAATTGTAGATGAATTTTAAGCTTTTTATTAAACAGAAATATATCTTGAAATGTACGTTACATTTACGTAGTTGTCTAAATCGGCATGGATATATGTTACAAAAGACAGTAACTACAAAATAGAATTTTATTACATGTACATGTTAAGTTCCACTATCTATAGAAAATGACAAGATTACAAACTGTTCGCTCTAAACAAAACAGAGAGAAGAATTTAAAGTATATATTTAAAAAAAGTTTTGATACATCTGGATCAAAAAGTAACCTTTGTTTTTTGAAAAGAAAAATCAAACGCACGTTCGTATGCCGAGAAAATATGTTGTTGACAGAGTTGGTAGGATGTTCTGGTGTTAAGATGAGATATTCCAATTGTGATTTTAATGACTACATTTTTTTTTTTACATATCTTATTGGACATTGAAGAAAGAGTAACGTACATTTCAAGCTACATTTCTGAATAAAATCACCCTCTACTTTACCGTCTTGTCATTATTCCATGTATTAAAATTTGATGAAAAAAACCTGGAAACAAAATCTTCAGATACTTTCTTTCAAAAGTAATTGATAGAAAAATTGTTATCTTGAACTTCATTTTTTTAAAAAATCAGAGAGGCATTTGTGCCCTTATACTGAGAATGGGTGATTACTTACAAGAAACATCACATCAAAACTTCTTGCATACATAAGGACATGCATATCAGTGTATGTTACAAACTTATTGGGCTGAAATTTATTGAAAAATAATGGAATCAATATTTCTAGGTGATATACAAATTATGATGATACATTATGCCTGAAATAACTATAAAGTGTCAGGAAATTCAGTGCAGGATATAATGATGTTGACAAACTGTTATTTACATTCCTCGGTGATTTCAATTTGTTAATCAGTGTAGTTCATGTCCAATGTATGACAATTTACACATTACACAAGAAATAATTGATGGAAGATAATGTAGTCATATAAAATTTGATTATATACTGTACTTTTGAAATTATTTAAAGCAAATCATTAGTTTGAGAGGGGGTGAGAACTTTTTTGTATGAATTTAAAACAGAGCAAAATTGTTTTCAAGTGTGAAAGGGCAAAAATGATCGACATGGTGTGAAAAAAAAAACTGTTTAAATTGCTGCAATTACAGAGATACCTACCAGCTCCTTTAGGTCCTGAGTCAGCTTTGACAAGCTCCTCAAGAATTTCTCTATATCCATTTTTTCCCAGAATAAACAACAAAAAATGAAAGCAGTTATTTTCATTTTTCTTTACTGTTTCCAAGAAGCGTTGGATTTGCTTAGAAATTTTGTTTGTCTCTGTAATTCTGTCATGATCAGGAATGTCTATTGCGCTCTCCTCAAACAAAAGGTCACAGAGTTCAAGAGGCTCCAGTTCCTCCAATAGAAAATCTTCATGTTCTTTGAGACAAGAGATATGTAGGCTCCTCAATAGGGGGTCCAACACAGGAATTCCTAATTGAAAGAAATTCTTAAGTTGAGCCAAACATTTCTTTATTGTGTATCAATTAAGGCTGTCAGAATTTGAATTGTAATAATTGATAGTATACAGAAAACTAAAACTAGAATGAAAAGAATAAGGAACAAAAGGTCAATGGACTACACTGCTCACCAAAGTAATAAGGTCCTGTTTTTCTTATGTTAAACCCACGTACAGGTGCTCGTGGACAGGATTATCCTTACTCCCCCCCCTTTCCCTCAAACTTTCAAAATAAAAAAAAATCCGATTTTTTTTCTTCATTTCTAAGCCCGGACAATTTAATTAATCTGTATGTTTCTATTTGAAAATCACATAAATATATCGATCATAAGCAATTTCTATACACAGTGGTTTCACGTATATCTACATGAAACCACTGTGTATAGATATTCAAATGTCACCAAGGTCAATGACATTGTGACCTTGACTGTGACCTGTATGCTAAAAATAGTTTTTTTGTACCTTTGCCATAACTTTTGAACCACTGTGAAGAAATAGAGACTTCATACTTGGTATCCATACTTTATTAATCAAGTTCTTACAACTGACACCAAGGTCAATGGCCTTGTGACCTTGACTGTGACATAATTATATGTTTAGACATGTATGCTAAAAATAGCTTTTTAAAAAAATTCAATGTTAGCGCCAGGCGCATAGGGTTTTAAAAACACATCTTGTTAAATGGTGACATAATTTTTTACAAAATTTTAATTATCTCCCATTGGAAGAATAAGTGGCTTATTATTTGCACAAACTTGAATCCCCATCAGTGATGATCACCCAAGCATATTTTGTGGCAAGTTTGGTTGAAATTGGCAAAGTCGAAATTTTTGAATTTTGTAAATTTCTCCAAATAATTCTGCATGTACAGTAAGTTATAATGGGTGTATTGTCAGCATTTAATCCGTTGTTTTTGCTTAAGAATAGGTATTTCTTCTATTAAAGCAGTTAAGTTATATCAAATCATTTGAAGGACGTCATTTTTATGACTTTTAAGCTTGTTTTTTATGTTTTGGCTTGTGTGTTTTTTGCGAATAGGTAGGTAGGTTTTTGAAAGATGGGTGGACGCTAAACAGAGAAAAAACTTGGAATGCCCTCATGTTTTACTATGAAATTTAGTAAATATGGTGGCATATATCAGTTCGTTTTATTGTTGACAGCTGTATTGCAATATATCATGTATATATAAACATATTATAATGTGTATCATGTTGTGATATTTTCATTTCCTATTTTTATTTTATTTTCATAATTTAAAGCTAGTATAAAAAAATAATATAATTCAAAACTGGAAAAAAACATCTTTCTTCAATTTCAGCACTCTTTTCCCTCATTTTCCAAATCAGGTCCTCTCTTTCAAATCTACTTCCATAACCCTGAAGAGTTCCTTGCATGCAGGTTCCCATTTCGTCAAAAGTATTTTCAGCAGTTTAGATGTCTTCTGTCTTGCACTGGTAAAGTAGTTAATGTCGGAAATGTTTGTTTGTTCAGGAAGCCATACATCTGATCCACCATTATTCTAGCATCATCAGTGACTGGAAGTTCCTCTTTGAGAAGACAGAAGTTTTGCGTTATGCAAAAAGCATACTTCGCTGCAAATGAAGTAAAGTTGTCATAAGTATGATATATCTTTGAAAAGTGTGGGAATCACTGTCTACGTTTGTTGGGTATGCCAGTATGTGTACTTAAAATAGCAGGCTTCATATTTTGTCCGCTTTGGCACAAACGATGATGCGCTAAATCATGAATACCGCTAAGAATTCATATATAAATAGAATATACGGCATGAACATGTGTAGCGCTAATTCATGATTATGCCAACGACTCCATATCCATTGAATGCACTAAATTTTGAATATGCCAAATTATGTACACGCATATAGTAGGTTATAGCACATGTACTAACTTGTGGACTTATTAAGAGTCCAGAGAGAGTTTTGGCCTTATGTAATATGTAATCTCTCTTGGGTGTTATATAATACGTAATAAGGGTCTGTCCACAAGTACGTACCTGTGGGTTATAG